ACAATAAAGATACCCAGATGTTGCACATGTGTCTTAATCTCAACTTGTCGGTATTATATACCATTCGTACACAAGTCTACTGGTAAACCAGTGCTTGCCTCTATCTCTTCCAATATCTAAATTTTTCCAAACCACGGCACGGGTGGGGGTTTGAGCCCATGGCGAGTGAGTCGTGAAACTCCAGGCCAGTGCGTAAGCCAATTTGTATCCACTGCTGCGAGTCCTGTCTTGGTTAGTTAACAAATCACAGAACGGGTGGGGATTGAACCTGTGGCAAGCGAGTCTTAAATCTAACAGGTCAGTGAGTTTCAGGACTAGTGTGCTGGTCCAATGGTTAGTGCGCTGGCCTGTGAGTGGTAGGACTAATCTGCTACTGGTTCGAACCCCATCCGTTCTGTGATATGTTTTCAGTCGTGTTTTTTTTTTTCTTAAAATTTCGTGAGTCATGTTGATCAGTTATTTTCAACACGTTATTTATATTTGGTGAAAATAATTTAGAAATCCGGTAAGTTGAAGAATACGACGCAGGTGCAGTGTTTGGGAATCTCTGTTGAGGAAACGTTTCGCCAGCCAGTGGCTTCTTCGGTCCAATATAAAGAACGATGGAAGACGAGGAGGAGTTTGAGGTTATAAGAACATAAGAACATAAGAACGAAGGAACACTGCAGAAGGCCTACTGGCCCATGCGAGGCAGGTCCAAGTCTCCTACCGGCTTAAGCCAATGCACCCAACCTAGTCAGGTCAGGTCACACTGACTTAAGGGAGGAACATGTATTTATCCAACCTATTTTTAAAGCTACACAACGTTCTGGCCTCTATAACGGTACTTGGGAGTTTGTTCCACTCATCCACAACTCTATTACCAAACCAGTACCTTCCTATATCCTTCCTGAATCTGAATTTTTCCAACTTAAAACCATTGCTGCGAGTCCTGTCTAGGCTAGATATTTTCAGCACACTATTTACATCCCCTCAGCCTGGAATCGTCTCCACTGGCTAGCGAAACGCTTCCTTAGTAAAGATTCCCAAATCTTGCACAAGTGTTGTATGGGCCAGTAGGCCTTCTGCAGTGTTCCTGCATTCTTATAAGAACATAAGAACGAAGGAACACTGCAGCAGGCCTACTGGCCCATGCGAGGCAGGCCCAAGTCTCCTACCGGCTTAAGCCAATGCACCCAACCTAGTCAGGTCAGGTAACATTGACTTAAGGGAGGAACACGGCAACCGACCTGGTAGCACAAGCTATCAGGTCCAACTCACACCCCACATCCACTCATGTATTTATCCAACGTTATTTATATCCCCTCACAGTAAGCCAGAATTACTTTTTATACAAAGTAATTAGTAATTCCGAGAGCAAGTAAGGTTCATAACAGCAAGAATAACAATTAACTGTTTGTTATAAAAATAAATACACGAGTAATTTAAAATATATCGTTCCAGACCAGGAGCTGGACTCTTCTCCAGGCTGAGGGACTGACCACCTCAAATACTATTTCGCCAAGGTTGATGGACCGATTACATCATTTTTATTTCATTACTACTGCTGCTTCTATATTTGACTGAAGAAGCCTACTGTGTAGGCGAAACGTTTCATCAATAAAGACACCCAAGTGTTGCACATGTGTCTTAATCTTCAACTTGTCAGTATTTTATAACATTTTCAACAATTTACATAGAGCTTTATTAGTTCCAAGTTGATCGTAGCCGCCATCATTCATAGCATCTTAATACCAAGGTCAAACCTCACGATGAGAAAAAGTTGAATGTTCACCTTTCAACTACAGATTTTTTTTTTTAATTCAATTAAATTAGTTTGGCATGGGTAGGTAGACATATATGCAGCTTGTTTAGGTAAGACACATATGCAACAGTTAGGTATCTTTATTTCGAAACGTTTCGCCTACACAGTAGGCTTCTTCAGTCGAGTACAGCAAAGTTGATAGAAGCAGAAGAGACTTGAAGACGATGTAATCAGTCCATCACCCTTAAAGTTTTGAGGTGGTCAGTCCCTCAGTCTGGAGAAGAGTATTGTTCCATTGTCTGGAATAATATGGAGTTGAAGTGATAGGATGGAGCCTTATATAGCGCCAGGAGGTGAGACGTAGGTCACTAGTAGAGTAAGAATGTAGACATTGAGAGGTCAGGTCCCTCTCAAATCCAGCCATTCTCACTAGTAGAAGTTGTTGAAGTGGTTCCAAGTCTGTACCAAGTCTGTACCATATTATTCCAGACAATGGAACAATACTCTTCTCCAGACTGAGGGACTGAGCACCTCAAAACTTTAAGGGTGATGGACTGATTACATCGTCTTCAAGTCTCTTCTGCTTCTATCAACTTTTCTGTACTCGACTGAAGAAGCCTACTGTGTAGGCGAAACGTTTCGAAATAAAGATACCTAACTGTTGCATATGTGTCTTACCTAAACAACCTGTCGGTATTTTATACCATTTTATTGTTCATTCATATATAAGAACATAAGAACATAAGAACGAAGGAACACTGCAGAAGGCCTACTGGCCCATGCGAGGCAGGTCCAAGTCTCCTACCGGCTTAAGCCAATGCACCCAACCTAGTCAGGTCAGGTCACATTGACTTAAGGGAGGAACACGGCAACCGACCTGGTAGCACAAGCTATCAGGTCTAACTCACACCCACCCACATCCACTCATGTATTTATCCAACCTATTTTTAAAGCTACACAACGTTCTGGCCTCTATAACGGTACTTGGGAGTTTGTTCCACTCATCCACAACTCTATTACCAAACCAGTATTTTCCCTATATCCTTCCTGAATCTGAATTTTTCCAACTTAAAACCATTGCTGCGAGTCCTGTCTAGGCTAGATATTTTCAGCACACTATTTACATCCCCTTTATTTATTCCTGTCTTCCATTTATACACCTCAATCATATCCCCCCTAATTCTACGTCTTTTCTAGAGAGTGCAGATTCAGGGCCCTTAGTCTATCCTCATAGGGAAGGTTTTTCTGATACATGGGATCAACTTGTCATCCTCCTTTGTACATTTTCCAGAGAATTTATATCCATTCTGTAATAAGGTGACCAAAACTGTGCAGCATAATCTAAATGAGGCCAAACCCAAAGGGATGTATAGAGTTGAAGAACAACCTGAGGACTCCTATTATTTATGCTTCTTGATATGAAGCCAAGGATTCTATTAGCTTTATTGCGAACACTTATGCACTGTTGTCTTGGTTTCAGATTACTGCTAACCAGAACTCCTAAATCTTTTCGCAATCCGTAATATTAAGATCTACATTATTTAGTTTATATGTGGCATGATTATTGTCCTGTCCAACATTTAGAACTTGCATTTGCTATATTAAACTGCATCTGCCACTTCTCCGACCACTGCATCAGTCTATTCAAATCTTCCTGGAGTGCTCGAATGTCCTCGTCAGAATGAATTCGACGGCCTATTTTGGTGTCATCGGCAAACTTGCCGATGTCGCTCTTTATGCCCTCATCTATGTCGTTTATGTAGATTGTGAACAGCAGGGGGCCCAACACTGACCCCTGTGGAACACCGCTCGTGACACTTCCCCACTCTGATTTCTCCCCATTTAATGCAAACTCTCTGCTGCCTATTTGTCAACCATGCCTCTATCCAGGAAAAAATTTCTCCTCCTATTCCATGTGCTTTAATTTTCCTCAATAGTCTCTGATGTGGGACCCTGTCAAAAGCCTTACTGAAGTCCATATACACAATATCATATTCATTACCATGATCTACCTCCTCAAAATACCTTAGTGAAAAAAGTTAATAAATTCGTAAGGCAGGAACGCCCCTTTGTAAAACCATGCTGAGATTCGTTGATTAATTTATGCTTTTCAAGGTGGCTACGAACTGCCTCGCAATTATTGATTCCATAAATTTTCCCACTATGGAGGTTAGGCTTATTGGTCTATAGTTCGAAGCTAAGGACCTGTCACCTGTTTTTGAAAATAGGTATCACATTTGCCATTTTCCACTTATCTGGCACCATGCCAGTTTGTAGTGATATGTTGAAAAGATTAGCCAAAGGTGTGCTAAGCTCCTCTTTACATTCCTTTAGAACCCTTGCATACAGTTCATCAGGGCCTGGGGATTTGTTAGGTTTTAATTTATCTATTTGCCTAAGGACCATGTCACTTGTGACCCTAATAGTACACAGTTTTTTATCGTCCTGTTCTACATAATTTATCATTACTGGAATATCGCTGGTATCCTCCTGTGTAAAAACGAGAGGAAGTATGTGTTAAAAATTCTACACATTTCCTTATCACTGTCAGTGAGCTGACCCGAGGAACTTTGAGTGGGCCTATCTTGTCCCTGATCTTACTTCTGTATACCTGAAAGAATCCTTTTGGGTTAGTCTTCGATTCTCTTGCAACTTTAACCTCATAATCTCTTTTTGCTTTTCTAATTCCCTTTTTTATTTCTCTCTTTAACTGAATATATCGATTTCTCAATTGCCCCTCTCCTCTTTTGATTTGCCTATATATGCCTCTCTTTTGACCAATCAGATATTTTAATCTATTGTTCATCCATTTAGGATCATTTTTGTTTGATCTGATTTCCCTATTTGGAACATAATTTGACTGAGCAGCTAGAACTATGCCCTGGAAAGCATCATATCGGCAACCATCACCACCTACCTGACCCTTAATGAGACATTTATTCTTATGTTCTTATGTTAACACCGTAGTAAGCCTACTGGACCATGACAGGCACTAATAGGCCAGAAAGCATACTGTTGGGCCAGCAGTATGCCTGCTGGTCCATGCTAAGCAGGTCATGAAATGTAATAAAGTTGGTAGAATTACGTTTGTGTCATGAAATGTAGCATAAGAATGGAGGCGCACTGCAGTAGGCCTACTGGTCTATGATAAGGAGACGCGAGTCACACCAACCCACCTGTATGGGGGAACATATGATTAGAGGATCATTACAATAGGAGAAAGATAAGATAATTCAGAAGATAATTATGTACTCACCAAGGAACAAACAGTCTTCCGTCCTCTGGTATCACTCCTGTCATTGGAGCTGGAGTTCCTGGTACTCTTGGCAGAGGTCACACTCAGCGTATCCTCCTCCACTTGAATTCTCTCTGCACTCCTGCCTCGAGTACGAGACTCATGTCTCCGTGGAGGTATAGGAGTCTCCGTGTCAGTCCTCCGTGACTCTCCTGACCACGAAGGCTCGTCATTCAAATCGTAAGAATGAAGAAAAAAGTCTTTAAACGTCTTCATCCTGTCGAGGGTTTGTTCTTCTCGCTGCGTTGAAATCTCCCCCAATATTTTTTCTCTTCATTCGAATTTCTTTTATTTTCTATTTGGCAATCGTTTACCAGTGTTACTATATATCATAAGCGTCCGTAGCAGCATGTGAGCATCAGAAGTCACATCTCCCAACATCAGGGATGATGCAAAACGTTCCCATTTCAGACTCGCAGAGTGATAAAAACAAACTAGAGAAAAAAAGACTTGCCAGGCAGGTTGGTCCCGGTCGGTGTTTCCTCCAACTAACCTTCCGCAGAGGTTCCCTCCAACTCTGCCGTCTCTTTAAGTTTTAATCCCACCAGCCTAATAAACGATCTTCGGCTTCAACATCAACAGTCTTTTTTCCCGACGTAGCGGCGAGTGCGGACTGTTGATCCCCAAGTCACTAGCAAGAAGAGAAGCTCGATGACGGAGGTAATACAGTGCAGGAACACTAGGGGCGGGACAAGGCAGGAGGCTGCATGACGGTGCAACAAGAGGCAGCAACATCCACACCCAACCACTCACTGCACGCGACTGACCCAACACAAGGCTGGACACCAACACCACCACCACCACCACCACTCTCCCCACATGTTGGGGATGGAGGAGTGGGGGAGCCCAGCTCCATCTTCTCCAGATGCAATCTCCATCCATGAGTGGTAGGCGTACAGATTATCATTTGTGTTGTGAGGCTGAGCCAAGAGCTGGAGTTCACCACACCTAACAGACATATAAACACACACTGCAGTGATGATCAGTGGGAATAAAGACCCATATGCAACACTCGGGACATTTTTTTTAAAAAACGTTGAGCCTACTGACGGCTTATCACTATAAGGTCATTAACTGATACAGCCTCAGTTGGAGAAACGTCGTTAATAACTGAATTGTTTAGAAAAACAACAAGTTGATAAATGAGACACTTGTGCAACATTTAAATAGATGAATGGTTCAGAGAGCCGAAACGTTGTTAAATTAGACACATATGCAACTCTTGGGTATCTTTATTGAGGAAACGTTTCGCCACACAGTGGCTTCATCAGTCCATACAAAAGATAAACTTGAAGAACAGGAGGAGAATGATGGACTGACCACATAGACTCAGGCTGAGGGACTGATTACCTCATTCTCCTCCTGTTCTTCAAGTTTATCTTTTTTGTATGGACTGATGAAGCCACTGTGTGGCGAAACGTTTCCTCAATAAAGATACCCAAGAGTTGCACATGTGTCTAATTTAACAACATGTCGGTTCTTTGAACCATTCATCTACAATCCTGTCAGACACTGCAACTTCTTGGGATCTTAATACTTGGGAATTCTTCGCTTGCCTAACCCTTGGGCACGACCTACTTCCAGATTGGACAAATGTGACGCCACCTACGACTGCTGCACCTCTCCTGCCAAACGGTTTATAAGCTGCTTCTCCGCTCATATGCCGTATTCTATTGAAGATTGATGGACTGACCACATCGACTCAGGCTGAGGGACTGATTACCTCATTCTCCTCCTGTTCTTCAAGTTTATCTTCTTTGTATGGACTGATGAAGCCACTGTGTGGCGAAACGTTTCCTCAATAAAGATACCCAAGAGTTGCACATATGTCTAATTTAACAACATTTAAATATCTTAAATCTGGCGAAACGTACCCAGATTAAAAAAAATACCCACATGTTAAATTTCTGTCTCTTTACAGTGATGTGGGATTCTCATACCGTTACCAGTATCTTCCACCATTATCATCGTAAATTTAACACAAGTTAGGTTAATGTGACGAATAGTTGTCAATAAACCATCACATTATATACTGCTTCTGTGTCTTTATCGTGTGGGAATTTTATGTACTGGAATTTATGCGCAAAAAAATAAAAAAAACACTGTGTGATACCACAACACCAGCACCGTCTTGAAGTCACCAGCACCGTCTTGAAGTCACCAGCACCGTCTTGAAGTCACCAGCACCGTCTTGAAGTCACCAGCACCGTCTTGAAGTCACCAGCACCGTCTTGAAGTCACCAGCACCGTCTTGAAGTCACCAGCACCGTCTTGAAGTCGCCAGCACCGTCTTGAAGTCACCAGCACCGTCTTGAAGTCACCAGCACCGTCTTGAAGTCACCAGCACAGTCTTGAAGTCACCAGCACCGTCTTGAAGTCACCAGCACCGTCTTGAAGTCACCAGCACCGTCTTGAAGTCACCAGCACCGTCTTGAAGTCACCAGCACCGTCTTGAAGTCACCAGCACCGTCTTGAAGTCACCAGCACCGTCTTGAAGTCACCAGCACCGTCTTGAAGTCGCCAGCACAGTCTTGAAGTCGCCAGCACCGTCTTGAAGTCACCAGCACAGTCTTGAAGTCACCAGCACAGTCTTGAAGTCACCAGCACAGTCTTGAAGTCACCAGCACAGTCTTGAAGTCACCAGCACAGTCTTGAAGTCACCAGCACAGTCTTGAAGTCACCAGCACAGTCTTGAAGTCACCAGCACAGTCTTGAAGTCGCCAGCACAGTCTTGAAGTCACCAGCACAGTATTGAAGTCACCAGCACAGTCTTGAAGTCACCAGCACCGTCTTGAAGTCACCAGCACCGTCTTGAAGTCACCAGCACCGTCTTGAAGTCACCAGCACCGTCTTGAAGTCACCAGCACAGTCTTGAAGTCACCAGCACCGTCTTGAAGTCACCAGCACAGTCTTGAAGTCACCAGCACCGTCTTGAAGTCGCCAGCACCGTCTTGAAGTCACCAGCACCGTCTTGAAGTCACCAGCACAGTCTTGAAGTCACCAGCACCGTCTTGAAGTCACCAGCACCGTCTTGAAGTCACCAGCACAGTCTTGAAGTCACCAGCACAGTCTTGAAGTCGCCAGCACCGTCTTGAAGTCACCAGCACCGTCTTGAAGTCACCAGCACAGTCTTGAAGTCACCAGCACAGTCTTGAAGTCACCAGCACAGTCTTGAAGTCACCAGCACCGTCTTGAAGTCACCAGCACAGTCTTGAAGTCACCAGCACAGTCTTGAAGTCACCAGCACCGTCTTGAAGTCACCAGCACAGTCTTGAAGTCACCAGCACAGTCTTGAAGTCGCCAGCACCGTCTTGAAGTCACCAGCACCGTCTTGAAGTCACCAGCACAGTCTTGAAGTCACCAGCACAGTCTTGAAGTCACCAGCACAGTCTTGAAGTCACCAGCACAGTCTTGAAGTCACCAGCACAGTCTTGAAGTCACCAGCACCGTCTTGAAGTCACCCAGCACAGTCTTGAAGTCACCACACAGTCTTGAAGTCACCAGCACCGTCTTGAAGTCACCAGCACAGTCTTGAAGTCACCAGCACAGTCTTGAAGTCGCCAGCACCGTCTTGAAGTCACCAGCACCGTCTTGAAGTCACCAGCACAGTCTTGAAGTCACCAGCACCGTCTTGAAGTCACCAGCACCGTCTTGAAGTCACCAGCACCGTCTTGAAGTCGCCAGCACCGTCTTGAAGTCACCAGCACAGTCTTGAAATCACCAGCACAGTCTTGAAGTCACCAGCACCGTCTTGAAGTCACCAGCACAGTCTTGAAGTCACCAGCACCGTCTTGAAGTCACAGAATCTCCAGCAACAGCGTCAACTTTAAATTGACGATAATGCTATTGTTTATTACTGTTACGTTAATGTTATGGTGCATTACTGTGGTGAGTTTCCATGGGAACAGTTCTCCGACGCGGTGTTTTACTGAAGATGTAAATGTAGCTGTCGGAAAGCAAGTGCGGTGTTCTGGTCAGCCTTTTATTTTTATTTTCTGCTGGCTGAAGGTGGGTCACAGTGGAACTGTGGAACTGCACTACAGTTAAAGTTTACGTTAGTAAAGTACGATATGCAGTACATGGCATTTTATTGAGAAGAGGTTTCATCCACCAGGGACTTTAGCTGAAGTAAAGTTCCACAGTTAAACTTGAACTGCTCTGAAGTTAAAGTTCAATTATGGAACTTTATTTACAGGGAGGGAACTCACCAAAGTCAGCAGAGTTGAGACTCTCAACAGGGAAAGTATTGATAAATCCACTGGTTAGCGGAAAGTCTACATAATAAATATAGCCAGTTGTTGCACATGTGTCTCATTCTTCACCTTGTCTGTATTATATATCATTGATGTTAAGGAAAGCATGGAATCTTCCTATGCAAAGCCACAACCCTGGGTGATGGAGAGGATCTAGCGAGAGCAGCAAGGAACGCCTGGCTGAGAAACTGGTTGAGTAGATCTGGCAGCAATACACCAGCCCCTGGAACGGTTCAAGTCCGCATACTGGAGGAGCATCATCCATTAATCCGATGGAGCATTGTCCGCTTATCTGCATCCCAAGTAAGGTAGAAGAGCATCCAGAGAATGTCTAGCGCCTGCAGAGCATCCACTGCAACTTTCTTTATAGACAGGTGTACGTACAGGGAAGAACTACACCATGAAGCACCACATGATCATTCCCTTCAACAACATTATTTACTGTACACATAAAAGGACCGCACCATGAAGCAACACCTGGGAAGCAGAATGACTAACGCAGGACCGGGTAAAATGAATAATTAAAAAAAAATTGATCTGATAAATTAATTAATGATGGTAGGACAGCACACCGCGTCAGCGCCACACTGGACGGACATCATCCTCACATCATCTTGGTTGTTTCAGGCGGGAAGCTGCCAGGCAACACTCCCCTACACCCCAAATAATTATAATTATAATCATGAGGGAGCGCTAAACCTGTTGGGTTATACAGCGCATTTAGGGGGGAGGGAGATGGAAGGTATTCAGGCTTAACTCAGGGAACCGGAGCACAAATCCAATTCCCTAGATCAAGAGCCCCCTCACCAGCGTCAAAGAACCTCCCTTGAAGGGCCCTACATCCAAAATACTTCGAAAAAAAAATAGTCATTCATTACTAATTTTAGGTCACTGAATAAGGAAATGATGTTTAAAATTGCAAATTGGCTCTGTTTATAGAGATAGGGATTAAGGCCGGTTGTTGTTATCCCTGGCTGGGGAAGGAAGGAGGGTAAATAAACCGTACCAGGAATAGTTTTTGATTCAGAGTAGTCACAATGAGTAATTATGAAAAAAAAAACACGTACAATTTCCTGTAGTTCTTATCATTAGCTCTTTTTTTTGCGGGATGGAAGGGGAAAACGTTTATACTGAATGGACCAATAATTGTGCAACTTATTTTTGGTTTGGGTACTGTTTGCTTTTTTGGAAACTAATGACAGAAAACGGATGGTTCACTCGAATTCATGTATAACATCATTATTCTATCTGGAAGTTATACAGTGCACATCTGTCAAATCTTTTTAGTGTTTGCTTTTGAAAGTGACTTTTTTTCAGCCAAATTATGACAAATATGCCTCTTAAATGCGTAAACAGAGCAGATAACTTGTGTTATGATTGTGGAGAATTGATCTTTGCCTCACAAAAAGCCGTGATTAGGAAAGTCTGTCACATTTATTTTGGCTGTAAGATTGGATGCCTGGACAAGATCTGGACCTCACACACACACG